TATTTTATATATCTATTATTATATATAACTTTTAACAAATAAACTTATATCCAGATATAAGTAGGTGATACAGTTCAATGCGACATCCACGTTTACAGACATATCGACGAACAAAATAATTTCAAACTACGACTGAAATGCACACTCATGTAGGTATACACTCCTATAAAAATCGACACACCTGCAGCACGACGCCGAGGGCTACGATGACAGTCCAATACGTGAGCCACCTGTTCAGATTGTTCAGTGTGGAAGGCCTGGGGTCAGCCACTCGATACTGGTGCACGGCACACAGTGTAGCGTATGCTGGGTAACACAGTGTTACAAGCCAAAACAAAGCTGGATGCGAGAGCGGTTCAGTAGCTGCCTCTGGCAGATAATGAAACACAGTGAGTAAAGCGTGTGCGAAAATGCAGACATGGAACGTGCTTGCTCCCAGTCCGCTCAGCATCTTCTTAACCATGCGATTCATATCCCTGGCCTTCTGAACAGCATACACTCGCAGACGTTTGAGGTATCCTGCCCTGATAAACGATCTGATCTTACTCAACACCATGACCAAGATGAACATAGTAGCTATCGTGAACGCCACGGTCGGTGGATCGGCTTGTGACAGTTTCCGCTTCATATGCATCAGCCGTATATGTATACTGGGCCACACATGAATCAGGAATAGTTGCCATATGTACGCTGCCGCCGACTTCAGCGCTTCCCAGATCGGTGGCAAAATCGGGAGGACCACGTTCCATACACTTACCACCAGCCAATACAGAAAGTTGAACACAGGCAAGAACACCAGACCCCACAGTCGTATAGCTGTGATTGTGGATTCGTATGCATTACGAGTTAATTCCAAGTGCTGGTGAATGTCGTCGGGAATAGCTTCGCTAATGGCCACCGTTATATTTTTCGCCGACTCGACTACGTAGGAGGACATAGCCTCCATCTGCAAGTCCCAGTCCATGATCTGGGTATAATACTGATGTTCGGCGTGAAGAGCTATCCCAATAGAGTCAAGTTTGTCTACTCTATACGCGAAACACCCTTACCATACGCTTGTGTGGCATATGTGCACTTGCACCGTGAGTCTAGCAAACGTCCGGCTTTATTTGAGTAAACAACTTTTGCGCCTGAGTTGTAGACTCGCGTATATTTTTTGATGATGCATTTTTTTTTAAATTTATCACTTCGTCTTGTGGTGATAACACTGATGAGTAGTGATAAATAGTTGAAGTGAATGTGGTAAAGGGTTGATGGATTGGTATAGAGTGGGAGCAATACAAATGCGAATGGTGCGTAGTAATCCGGGACGGGTATGGCGGTGGATGCTGCTAAGTTGCAGGATTAGTTTTGAGTTGTCGGAGGCCAGGGGTGTTGGTGGCTACTGAGACGCAGACTAAGGCAATCGGAGATAAGTGAAGTGCTGCGGGGTTTGATCTGAGAGATCAATGCGCCGAGTATCCAAGACAGCAACAATTGGTTGCGTGGTTCTATGTAGATCAACTGAGAAAAATCGGGCTGGGGTATCGGAGGAATAATCGATATAGGAGGTGTCAAAGAGACTACGTTGAGGTGATTGCCTGTGGAATCACTAAACAGAATTGTGGGGGAGGTTAGTCAAATTTGCTGTAAAATTGGTGGTGGAGCAGCTACGGGAAGCGACGGAGGAAAGAGATGGGGGCTTGTGGCAGGAGGAGCCGAAGTAGATGTTAAATGGGTAGTGTTAAATTATTGGGTAAAATAGAAGAGGGAGGACTGTCTTAGGAATATCTTTGTTATCGATGGCGAAGAATCAGCGGCCTAAGATTGAGAAGACACAATGCACAGAGGCAGTATGCTGAGATGTAATTGGTTGGTCGGTTGATACTGATTCGGTACTTTTATTCTAATTTTCGTCCAGTCAACTGGAATAACGTAAGTGAAAGATATGGAGCTAGATAAACACCCTTTATTGTCAGTAGATCATTCTGAATTAATCTATTTTTTTGTAAGAGCCACAAGGGTTGAGTTTGGTACTGGTGCTGGGTACCGAACTGCCAGGGTTGGTCACATGCAATATGCCTGGGAGGCTGTCAAGGTGATTAGTGAGCTGATATGGATGGACTGATGGAGCTGATATGCCAGGGTGATGGAGCTGAGAGATAATACTAGGACACTATGCTGCATAGAGAATTGGTGGATCACTAGAGAGGTAGTAAGGACTGTCAAGAAAGGAAGGTTTCGTGGAATGGTCTTCTAAGGAGAATGAACTGCCTTGACGGCTTTCGGAGGTTCAGGAGGCCTGGTAGGCTATAGAATACACATACAGGTCACACGGTAGGTTAGTCGAGCAGAAGTGCTAGGAAAGCTCGGATAAATGTCTAATAAACTGTTTCAAATCTACTGTGTTGCGAACTACATTTTGGTAGAGTTGTATTTAACGTTTGTTGAGTAGAGTTTGCGTTGAGTTTTAAAACTTCAGGTATCATGGGTGAAATTAAAGTAACGGCCAAGAAAGACCCCTCGACCAAAATGATCCAGTGCAACAGTGTATTTATTTCTTTCGACTTTCCAGATAATGATGCAGCCATGTGTGCATCAGGAAAACGTAGGACAATAGTTTGAAATCACTTGTTAGCCAGTAATTATATGATGGCCTTGTAGAAAGGTTCTCACTACGTGTGATGCCCGCATATATCTTAACATATCCCAGCAACCTTTAAAGTGATTGGCTTTCATAAGCTGGACTCGGGTCAGATTATTCAACGTGTCATGTTGATGTTCAATCATATCATTGAATTCTGGGCAAGGAGGAGAAGTATATGGCTTTTGTTTTGGCACTCTGAAAGACAATACTGTCGGCGATGATCATATGCGGCTTGTCGTGAGGTGGTATGTAAAGAAAAATTTCAAAAACGCGGTCGGAAATGTTATTGAGGCTCTTCAGGTTTAAATGAAGACCATTGTATTTCATGGTATAGTTCCATCACAACCCATATTCAGTGCATGCTTTTGACCAAGACGATCAGAAGGCATCGAGCCATGAATTGTATCTTTATGAAGTACCAGCAAAGCCATTGGCATTGTCAGAGGTTTGGTTTTTGATGTTCATGCGACGGATTTTAGCTCCGAGGTAGACGTTGCAGTGTTTTTCAAACTCAGGGTAAGCTTTGGAGAAGATGATTGCTGTTTGGAATTCCTGGCCAGAGGTGATAGCTGTTCTGTTCTGAGTGGGTCAAAGAAAGCAACCTGTATGCATTGGTTTGTTTTCGTGCTGGCGGAAGTTTTAGCTGTGCTAAGGATAATATACAGTTGACACTGGAGATAGGGTATGAAATTATTCCATCAATTCGCACACGAGCGCAATGAAATACAACGGCAATAGGGATCCAGCATCGTGCATTGATTTCCATCCACTCATGAGTGAGGAGCCAACTAGGATTGCCATGAGCCCGTTCGTCGAGGAGATTAGCTTTTTAAAAGTATCGGGATTTGCAACCCTCTGGATGTAAACTTCGATGGATATTACAAAGATTTAAATTATGTTAAATAAACTAAGATACAATTTAAGTCAGTTAGGGTGGTAGCTTGTGTAAGAATGATCGGGACTCTCTCTTGATAAGAGCCTTAATACCCTTGACCACACACAAGACGTACCTCTAGCTGTTCTTTATTGAATAATTTTCACTAGAAGTACTAAGTGTTCATGACCTCATGCTGTAAACTTCGATGGAAATTACTAGGTTTCAAACTATATTAAACTAAAATACAATTTAGTCAGTTAGGATTTAGCAGTGGTAGCTTGTGTAAGAATGATCGGGACTGCCTCTTGTTAAGAGCCTTAAATATCCTCGATCACACAGGGCGTACCTCTAGCTGTTCTTTATTGAATAATTTTCACTAGAAGTACTAAGTGTTCATGACCACATGCCTAATTTGTAGATAGACATAATAACG